GAGCACGTGCGCTCACCAGAAAGACAGAGAGAGACAGAGAAACAGAAAACGAGAAGTCACCCCCCAGGGGGAATGGCCATGCCACAGTCCCTTCTCCTCCATTCTCCTCTTGGGATCACGTGCCTGGTGTGAGTTTAAGCCACATGGTCGACTACATGGGAGCCCAGTGACATAGCCATTACACTAACTGCTGGTCCCTCTGTGCCTATTTCTTCACCTGTAAAATGAAGGGGATATTAACTATACCTATCACAAAGGTAGTTGTGAAGATTCAAGGAGTTAACATACGTAAAGTGCCCAATCTGACACAGAGCAGGCCCTATATGTAATTATTTGCAAATATTATTACTTTCCACAGATCAAGCTGTGGACAATTTAAGTGCAAGGTAGTTCTGCAATTCTTCAGCACTCGAGTCTATACAATGTGGATTACACCTACAACAGTCTGAGTATGCCATATTAATATTAATGTGATATTTTCTCTTGAGAGGCTCTGGTTTTTCCCATGCGACAGCCTTCAAAGTCATCCCCAGCTAATACTTTTTTTTTTTTTTGGAGAGGTTTTTGCAATAGGGCGCATGAGCTCGCCAGACAGACAGAGAGAGACACAGAGACAGAAAGCGAGAAATCACCCCCCAAGGGGGATGGTCATGCCGCAATCCCTTCTCCTCCATTCTCCTCTCGGGATCTTGGGCGCACACGCACACGTGCCCGGCGTGAGTTTAAGCCACCAGGTCCAGGACGCGAACCGTGGTCGACTACGTGGGAGTCCAGCAACATAGCCATTACACTAACTGCTGGTTCCCCCCAGCTAATACTTTTGAAAGCTGTCCACCTTCTGTCACTGTTGGTGTCCCTCACAGGTCAGGAGGCATGTCTGACTTCTCAGCGATCCTCTGACATGGCTTAGTCATCAGAGAGGGAAGAAACATTCATAGCTGACCAGCTGGCTACCTGCCTAACACCACCTGTTTACCGTCTCCTATTCTTTCAGCCTACTGCGATTTGCAAATAGATCTCCTACTCTTGATCCAAAACATTATATGGCCAGCACGTGGTGTGGAGGTTAAGGCAGCTGGATCCCACATGGCTGACTACACAGTTCAAATCCCACACTTCAGCGGTTTGAAAAATTATGCCAGGAACTTGTGGGTGCATTCCAAAATCTCAAGGAGAGAATGGAGGAGAAAGGACTGTGGCATGGTTATCTACCCAGGGGATCTCTCTCTTTCTCGGTGAATGCACGCACTCTATAGCAAAACTAAGAAAAACAAAACAAAGCAAAAACAACCACTGACTCTCTCACTGAGCTTTTGGCATTTTATAACTTCTAATGGTCAAGGAAAAAGAAAACTTGGCTCAATATATAGCAATGATATGAGGAAATGTCAAAAAGTTCATGGAAAGTGGGATTTAAATGTACCATTTTATTTTAGTGTAAAAATTGTTGGAAATACACACAGTTTTTTTTTTTTTCATAATGCATTTTCTGTATTTTGAAGACTCTTCATTTAAGACTACAAATCAGGTAGAAGTAGTTTCTCAGATTTATCATACTAACATTTCTAAAATGCACAGACTTTTTTCCATGATGCTTTCGCTTTTCAGATTTAGAGTTTCTCACAGATCTAAAAGATATGATTATGAGAATAATTGTTTATACCAATTATTCAACCAATTATACCTGCCAGAGCGGGTCTTTCTGATCAGGGAAGAGCTCAAAATACTTGTAAGCCAGCTGCACTGGAGGCAGAGTCTGAAGTCGCAGGTTGGTCCAGCTCTGCACAAAATTGGCCAGATTAACAAACGTGTACAGTCCCAGCCGGTCATTCCCATAGTTGGACAAATGGGTCATGAAAATGCTGATCTGAAAAAGGAAAATGAACTTCAGTATAAAGGCAATTACTTAACACTAGAGGGCAGTGTCACACAGCAATTTTAATTCCCCCACCTTCCAAGTAATCTATACAAGGTTTCAATTCATGATATCTTTTTGGATTTTGGACATATTCCCCCAAAGTCTCATGATAATAATGCATACTGGAATATGTGTTTTCAGTAAGCTTGGTGAGAACTTTTTTTTCTGAGATTTTAATATATTTCATTATGAAAAACAAGTTCAAGATCTAATAGTTTCCATGTACCCAAGTTGGTGCAGTAAGGCTGATGCTGAATAATATATCCTAGATTATAACTCATTATGGCCACGTAGTTTGTGGGCTAATAATCATTTGAAGCAGTGGAATGCCAGGAGGAGGGACTTTGTGGTTTCAATCACTTAGCTGTTTACATTGTAGTACTTCAAGTCAAGTGGTATAATCACTGAATTGTAATTATTAGCATTAACTTAATGCTTTCCGACTGACACTTTTTAGAAGCTATAATGACAACAAGTTGGTGCCAGAGATTTTGTTAGAATAACAATGATTTTCCTTCAATAAGACTTTCAAACCCACTCCCATATTTATTAGTTTCATTATTCCCAATATAAAATATCTCCTTTAAGAAAAGTCTTTAATGTATGGCTAAATAAATGAACTCTTGTGGAAACATTTGACCTAGATTTAATCCATGAATTAAAATAGAAAATCATAGCACGAGCAAGGAACTTTTTATAATAAACTTAAATTCTTTGGTTTGATTAAATAGTACTGGGATGGGGAATGCCATTTTTAAAGCGCTGCTTTAAGTGAATGGAAATAATTTTTGCTGGCTAGTTGTTGACAAAGGGAAAGGTTCTACATGAGATTTTCAAAGGCAAGAAAAAATCCATTGTGACATTTATGCTGCTATAAAAAGATCATAAAAGTAATTCATGTAATAATAGTACTTTCCTAAAATACATAATATCATATGAATGAATACTGATAATGGTTATTATAATCATCATAAAAATGAATATAATAGGCCTTTCATTAAGAGGCTGAAAGAAATTCAAGAAAATTCATTGAGGTAAAGTGGCAGAGATGAGAAGAAAAGTTATATTAAGATTTGATTGAAAGAGTCAGAAAAATATAATTACATCTATGAAAAAGAGGAAATAGTAATATCCTATATTCTTTGGAACAAATCCTTTAGACTTTGACATGAAAAGCCTCAATTGTAATCAAGAATATTTAATTGTGTTTCTATTCACCCTGCATGAATATATATTAAATCTTAAAACTTTTTTTTTTTTGGAGAGATTTTCACTGTAGGGCGCGTGCGCTCGCCAGACAGACAGAGATATAGAGACAGAAAGCGAGAAATTACCCCCCAGGGGGGATGGTCACGCCGCAATCCCTTCTCCTCCATTCTCCTCTCGGGATCTTGGGCACGCACGCACACGCGCCCGGCGTGAGTTTTAAGCCACCGGGTCCAGGCCACGAACCGCGGTCGACTACGTGGGAGTCCAGCGACATAGCCATTACGCTAACTGCTGGTTCCCGAAATCTTAAAACTTTTAAAAGCAGAATACTTTGAGGGCAATGTATAAATAGCTACCAGCAGACCGAAAGAGTCTTAAGTAAAACTTTTACCATTTTAGGTCTTAAAAGAGACTTTTAAAATTGAACTCTCCAGTTTTATTTTTTATAGTAATTTCAGCTGTGGCTAATAAACAGACAAATGAACAACAACAACAACAACAAAAACCCAAAAAACACAGCAAACCTCTTCTTGATCTCCAAGACTGAGAAATTTGTGAAAATCATTCTTAAATTTGGAAGTGTCTGTTAGGGGTAATCTTCACTCTTCTGCTTTATATGTCACATTTTCAATGTAGTTTAATAACAAATAGCAAAATGATAAAACAAAGTGGCTTTTTCTTAAAATAAAAATGTTAATGCAATTTAAAATGATGTATATACAATTTTTCGTTGTCTTTTCTTTTTCTTTTCTTAAAATTCAATCACTGTATAACTTTACAGCATCCAAAATGAACTTTCCCAGCATGAATACACTATATATTAGTCCATTCAAATATATTACTATACATATTATCAACCAATAATTTTCCAATTTTGTGTCCTTTAAATGTTTTGTGTTTCTTTTTCTCTTGATTCCCTCCCTCCCAACGCCCTCCCCATTTCCCACTCTCCTCCCACACTGTCTCTAATATTCACAGTTGCTCTCCATGCTTTTATTCCTTCTAATCTTTCCGTTTCTGCTGTAGAGTGCAGACATTTGGTATATATTAAGTAGGGACATACAGTGCCTCTCTTTCATAGTCCAGCTTGGTTCATTTAGCATTAAATCGTGCATATTTATCCACTTTCTATCAAATCCCAGGATCTCACTGTTTTTTTTTCTTTTTTTTTATGACTGAGTAGTATTTCATAGTGTACATGTGCCACACTTTTTCAATCCATTCATCTGTTTGTGGACAATTGTGTTGATTCCATGTCTTAGCAATTGTGAATAATGCTGCAGTAAACAGGGATGTTCAAGTGTTTTCCCACTGAGTGTATTCCTATCATACCAATTATATATAAAATATTAAGTGTATGTGTATATATATATATATACACACATATATACATAGACTTGATCAGCCACTAGTTAAATTTTCTTGTTTTATCTTATGAACTATATATTCACTTTATGTGAGTCATCTTTCACTTGAATATTATCTTCATTGGTTAGAAAATGGAAAACAGCAAGACTGTGCGACTTTGTGATACTAATACATTTGAACTACCTCTGAATTCACCTTCAACCTGGGAAACCATTTTATACAGTGACAATCGAAACAGATCAATTTTTTACTTGTGGAATTAAAGAAAGTAAAAAATGCTACTGATATGGACAGAGGCAACCCAGACTGAGTAACAAGTTATTTAATAGCATTGTTTTTGCTGAAATTAGACCTGACTCATGACAATTAGGTTGATCCTTTAAGCTATTGAACTTAGTCCTGTATAAGAAAAGCAGTTACTTAGTCTCCAAGCATGGAACTTTTCCCAGGTTTTTTATTCTATTTTTTTGCATATCCACTTTAAGATAATACAAAATGCACCATAAGCAAAAAGGACTGCTTCAAAGTGATGATGTTTTTATAATGTATGTCACCTTATGACCCTTTTAGGTTTTGGACTCAAGCCTGGGCTTGCTATTGTGCTCCTTAAGAAGTACAAGGCCATAGAAAATATAATTTGTCAGAACAGAAAGCACTTCGATTTCTTTTTAAACCACTTTTTAAAAAAATGAATCACAACATTCCCTCTAGGCGTGGAATACTGTATTAGGTTGTCAGAAAAGTCATGACTATGCCTTTCGTGACTATGCTGCATAATTTTCTGTGTTTTTCTATGCAAAAATGTGTCATGACTTTTTCAACAACCTAATATATCTTTGGCTGAGCATGTGAACTACTCCAAGTTTTCTATATAAATTTTAGTTAGGAAGGTGTGCACAGCAAACAACAGGGCGGGTGAGAAGAAATGTATAATGAGAATGTTTTGGTCAAAAAGTTAGCTCGCTTTCCAGACAGACCTTTCTTTACCCTTGTCCTGGCCTATGGCATTTATAATGTCAGTTCACTTCTTGGAAGTTCCTCACCTGACAATCATTTCTGCATGGCAGAAAAAGAAAAGGAAAAAGAAAGCTTCAAAAGATATCAATTCAGGAAAAGCAGATATTAGCTTTTCCTAAAGACCATTCCTTTACAATTTTAAGAGTGCTTGAGAACTGAGGTTTTATTTTCAGTTTTTTAAAAAATGATGGCACAAAAATTATTTTTATTCTCAGAAATTCAACAAGAAGGAAAAATGTCAGAAGTTACAATTGGCTTTTAAAATCAATTTTTTTCCCCATAACACACACTAGTAATTAGTTATTACCAAAAAGGCTAACTAACTGCTTAACGCTGCTTAAAACTCAGATCATTATAAACGCTGCCAAAGGCATGATGTTTATTTGATTAACAGTTGAAAAACAGTTCTAGTCTGGTAGATACAGATATGTATAATAAGACATTTAGGGGACCAGCAGATGGCGTAGCAGTTACATCACTGGACTTCCACATGACCGACCACAGTTTGAGTCCTGCACCTGATGGGTTGAAACTCACTTTGAGCATGTGTGCATATGTGCCCAAGATCCTTGGAGGAGAATGGAGGAACAGGGATTGTGGTATGGCCATCCCCATAGGGGATGGTCTCTCACTTCCTAGGGGATGATTTCTCACTTCCCCTCTCACTGTTTCTGTTTCTCTCTGGTGAGTGTATGCATTCAAAGGCAAAAAACCCTCTAAACATAAACAAACAAAAGAGACACTTAAGTATGACTTTTTTTTTTCCTGTTTAAAATACTGTGTAGGCCTTTTTCTCACCTAGGACAGAAACCTTCTAGCCACTTCCAAATTTGCCTGATTTTCACCTCTGGCTTCAACTTCCCAGCTGTGAAGTCTCCCCGAGTCAGTACTCCCCTGCCCCCAGACCCTGTACCAGCCAGGTAGGACAGCTGCTCTGCTCCCTCTTGCTGTCCTCCTCTGTCCATTCTAACTCTTTTTTCCCTCTTTTTGAAAAAATAGCTCTCTGCCCCCCTTGGACCTTTCTCTACTTAACCTCTGTCTTTTTCTCACCTAGGACAGAAACCTGCTAACCACCTCCAAGTTTGCCTGATTTTGGCCTTGCGGGTTTTCCATTTTCATCCCAATATTATTTTTTACAAAGTGATTTTTCTCCTTTTTCCTCTTTTTCTTTTAGCAGTCTTTTTTTTTTTTGCCTCTCTATTTCTATTTCCTACCTTCTTTTTCTTCACTGTACGTTCTGTTTTACTTTTCAACTCTTACCCTCTGCCTAGAGAAGTTTAGATGCAAAGTAGCTAACCATCTGAGCATTGTGAGTTTTGGAGAATTCTTTGCACATCACAGTAAGGGTTGCAAAA